GGGTTGATTGATAGTATTTTATTTGCTGCGAAATTTTTTTTTCTTAGATACATTCTCCACGGTTTATTTCCAAATGTAAATATCCGCCTATCTAATCTATAGGTACATATTATGTATTCTATAATAAGTAACAAAGTGAAATCTGGACAGTGTATATTATATGTATATAAAATATTTTTATAAACAATAACTGTTACGTTTTGTGTATAGAATATAGACCCCTAAACCAAAGTTGATGAAACTTTTGTTTGTTTATCTTTTTCCTTTTCACCCAAAAAGTTCTGAACGGATCTTAAGAAGAAAAATTTTTTTTTATAAAGATAGCTTAATTAACTCGGGTCAAAATTTTGCACACTTTTTACTTCAGCAAAATCTCTGGAAGGTAAACACAATAACTGGTTCGGCCTAGTTGTCTTTCATACAAAAAAAATCATGATTTATTACACAAAACTGTTACTAGCAAAGTTAATAATTAACATATTTATCAATTTAGTGCGGTAAAATCTATTATTTTCATGGTAAATTGCAAAATTTAGATATTAATTAAATTTAGAAATTTATGATATATGCATTAAACAGACAGGCATACGACAGACGCACCATATAAAACTGTACTTTGACATCTGCCTTGTACCAAAATATCATAAACGCAAAAACTTCATATTAGATTTTTTTTAATTCTATCATTCTATTGAGTAGATTTAATAGTAGCGATTTACTATTCGCTCGGGTGTGTCCCTACTCCCTAGGTGCTAAATAACCTATATGCTAATCTAGGTTGAAGTCTACATAATATGTGTGTATTTAGCGGAAATTGAGTTACAAAGGTCCTGTTACGAAAAATATTTTAACATTTATGGTATATAATACTTGTAATTTATAACATTAGCCAATCAATTCGTACGTAAAAAAGGGATATATCATGGTTATTTAAAAAAAACTTAAAAAATAAAAATAAAACCGACTTCCAGGCACTAAAATGTAAAAAATAACTAAACGGGGGGTTTCATTTAGAATAGATACCTAATCAGATATTTTCGAAGTCGGTGCCAGCCGACACATAGGAATTCTAATGTATTTTGATACGTAAAATACATATTTACCTATTACATATTCATATCTTAAAATATTGTCGGCTGGCACCGACTTCGAAAATATCCGATTAGGTATCTATTCTAAATGAAAACCTCCGTTTAGTTATTTTTTACATTTTAGTGCCTGGAAGTCTGTTTTCTTTTTTAAGTTTTTATTTTTATATTTTTAGTGTAGACGTAAAAAACAGGTAATTTGTAGGAAGAAAGTTTTTAATAACATATCCGATTAAGCAATTTGTTTAAAAAATATTTATTGTTGTTTTTTTTAAAAACCGCTCAACCGATTACGATAAAATTTATATGGGAAGTATACCCTTTCAAACAAAACAAAAAATTTCCAAATCGGTTCAGGCGTTTTCGACTAATCGGTGAACATACATAAAAAAAAGATTCCGACGAATTGAAAACCTCCTCGTTTTTGAAAGTCCATTAAAAAAGGAATATATTGTGGTTATTTAAAAAATTGGTAGTGAAGTAAATTAAACAATTAATATGTGAGATAGTAAGAGACAGTGCATGTCTGAACATATGAATTATTATATAAATTGCATTAAATTCTGCACAATCTGCCCTTCTTTGTTTACGTTATGTATATAGTTCTTGTGCATAGCAGATAACTAAGCTTATGCATATGAAAGCTTAAGGACTGTTAGAGTCCTGTGTATTATAAGATTATGAAACACTACTAAAACCCTGGAACATCTATTGTCTATATCGAAATCCGTGTATTTGGCTATAAACATAATATTTGCATATAATAATAAATATAATAAAATATATGACAATGTTTTTTTAATTAAAATTAAATATTATTTTTAAATAAGGTAAAGAAACCCGTAATTTTGGAACATAAAATCGCATTATATTGTGAATCTTGCATTTTGAAAACGTTATGTACGTTTCTGTAATAAGTTAAACATACGCAGTGCTCACCTAACAGATAGACACACCTTCTTCTTTTGAATCAATTATTTATATATATATGACAACTAAATATAATACAATACAATAACGGACTAAGCTAAATATACTAACTAATAATTTTATTATTTAAATCCTAACCACATTTTCATATATGTAAATGGACTAAAAGGGAATGACCTTTGTCTTACTGGAAACCTCTTACCAGTTTTATTTCTTTAAATATTGTTAATATTGTAATAACTCGTATCGTTTGGTAAGATACTTAAACATAATATGCATACATATAGCTGTCAGTTTACGTCGCTACATTGAAAAAATATTTAAATGCCGGGCGGCTAAGCTAATAACATATTCTTTAGAAAAATGTTTGAACCTTTCACATATCTATGAATGTTCTTAAAGAAAGAGATTTTTACTCCACTTTATTGAACGAAGGTTTTTTCCAGTCTGTCTATCCGCCTGACTTTTCTAAATAATTGCTTGGACACTCGACACGAACTGAGAAAGATGAGGCACAGGACAAATGACTTTAAGTACTCTCCGAGATATGAGTGTGAAACATTGTCAACTGTTACTGATTAACTGTTACTGTTCTTGACAAATAAAGTTAATAAATAAAAATAATTTATATATAACTTGGCCTGACCCGGTACTCGAACCCAGGACCACAGCACCCACTAGACCACCGTGGTAGATTTTAACACGTACAAAATTATCAAAGATACAGTAAAAATAAATACATGAATAGGAATTACTCATAAAAAACAAAATATTTTAAATTCCATGAAAACTTTCCTTAATAAGTGATAACACATTATTATCAATAACTGGTATGGACTTTGTTAGAATATTATGTATCTAATAGATATCAAGTATCAACAAAGTATGAACTGAATTATAGAAGTTACAGCCAGAGGATGCGAAAGAAATGTTATTTTTTTTATCTTATAAATTACTTTATTTATTATAATAAATCTTACTTCTAATTCTTTTACAATCGAATTGTCCTAAAGATAATCACATAATCGAATTATGATCAATGAATGATCTAATTAAAGTCTTATACATAAAATTTGCTGTTACGAGTATATAAATCAAAATATTAAAATGAAAAAATATTCAATACTCTCATAAAATAACTTAACAACTTTTTTATTATTTACTATATAATAATAAGTTTAATTATTTGTTAGTCTGTAACGAAATTTTCAGATTACAACAGACTACAGCAAGCGGTATCACGTTTCTAATTATTAAATTCATTGTAAGCGCGTGTAAACGATTTATATCGAGAGTTCGTTCAAGGTTTATTTACAGAATATATGTATTAAAGTGTTTTAAAAACAATGCTTGTACTACTTTACATTTTAACTGACGAAATAGTTCACTCAGTTATCAAATGACCTTTAACTAAAATTCAAATCGTTACTAGTAATTGATAAAGTGTAGAAATATTACGGATATTCTAATATGATAATAGTATGAGATAAAAAGACTATGTCATCAATCCATAGTATCTAAAACTTCCGGCTATAATAATAATAAGATATAAAAGTATTTAAGACTAGCGACTCGCCCTCGCTTTGCCCGGGTTCGTCCCTAGCTTGCTTTAAAATACAAAATTTTCATCACCATTTTCACCCCCTTAAGGGATGAATTCCGGGATAAAAGGTATCATATATCTTTTCCAGGGTCTCAAATTATGTTCTTACCAAATTTCATCTAAATCGGTGCAGTAGATCCAGAGATTACCCCTACAACGTTACTAACTCACAAAATCACAAACTTTACCTCTTTAAGTATAGATTATCAAAGTATCCCTGAATGGATTATTTGTTTATACTTTATTGCATACAGTTTAGTTTTGCTGCTTTTATTTTGATTTTTGGACACTTTTTTTAACCTAAAAAGAGATGAGATCTACATTTTGATCTGACGGAAAATATTTTATGTGTTTTTTTATCAAAATTGTAAATAAAAATCTTTTTATTAAAGTGCTAATATAATTGATAGCATATATCACCACAAACTTTGCTTGGCACAAATGATAAATTTGAATTCAAAATAATCGTCTTAGAAATTAAACTGTCTTGAAACCAGTAACATAATATTACAAATATATGTTTCTCTTCCTTCATAATATATTTATTTATGTTCTTTATATATATATATATATATATATATATATATATATATATATATATATATATATATATTTATGTACTTCATAGAATTGTTTTTAAAAAGATTGACAAGAATATTGGGTTATTTGCTTCGATCACCAGTAGTATTGTTGATCGAAGGTGATGTGTGTCAAATAATATTACTTAGATAATTATAATAATAATTAATTAGACGATTAAAATATGAAAGATAACAAAACTCAAAACAATATTTTTATGTTTTTATATGGATATTCTTTATTTTCATCGCATATACTACATTTTCGATCTTATGTTAATAATAATACAGTCAATGGTAGGTTCTAACAAAATATATAAGAGTAATAATTTAGGTTAAAAAATTGATATGAAAATATTTTTTTTTTATAATTCTTGGATACATTCAAACATCTTAGAATTTACGATCAGGATAAATTAAAAAAAAATATTTTAATGAAGATGTCGAGTTAGGACATTTCTCATAAACTGCCGTTTTACGATTTGACTACTTCATCACTTCTATTAACTTAAACTTTGAATTCATTAAATATAACAAATTATAGCTTTCCATTTATTCGTATAAACTTAAAATAACTTTTTATAAGTTTTAAAGGCGAACAGTAAAGACATTCATAGATACAAATTAAAATTATATATAGTTTTTTTTATTTTAAGTTTTTTTTTCAATTTATTGTTCTAGGTACATGTGAAGTTGATCTTAGAAAGTTTTTAATATTGCATCTTAATATATAGAATTTATTGTTGAATCTTCTAAAATCAGCAAGAACTCCAAAAAAATTTGCTCGTTTTGCAACCGACAATGGAAAAGCGGATAAAATTAGTGCCACCTGATGGAGGATGGGGTTGGATGGTTTTATTAGGAATAGCACTTACGAACGTAAGTACAAAAATACACATTTTTGAACACTATTATTCGTACACGGTTCTACTTATGAAACTTTGGAAAACAATATTAAAATTACATTCCTTATGGTATCTACTAAACAGAATATTTTGTGCACCTGTTACTTAGTTAAAGTTTATGACCAATGCCGTAGGTTATCGCATGTCTTTTTAATAGTAGAATTTATCTAAAACGATAATTGAAGCTAAGAATTACCAGGTAAGATATTTAATACTAGCGGCTCACCCTTGCTTCGCTCGGGTTCGTCCTTAGCTTGCTTCCCAATACAAATTTTCATCCCCATTTTAACCCCCTTAATGGATGATTTTCGGGATAAAAAGTATCCTATATCCTCGCTAGGGTCTCAACCTATCTTTTTGCCAAATTTCATATATATCGGTTCAGTAGATCCAGAGATTACCCCCTTCTTTTTTTAACGTTGGGAATTGCAATTACGCACGAGGTGTGGGACTCACCGGCAAAGCCAGTATTACCCACTAAAACCCAACAAAGCCTTCCCCCGTCTTAATGGGGCGTCGCAGGATCGCTTACGCATTCAACTACGACGCCCCGACGGCAGGTCTGCCAAAGCAGACCACAACAACCACGGGGTTGTTCCAAGGTCCACTCTGCTATCAGAGAAGTACCAGGAGCAACCCGCATGTAACACCGCCCTCCGAAGAGGGCCGCCTCCTACCGCCCACCGAAGCGGGCCACCTCCCTGTGCGTTTCTTGGCTTCGCGCTCGGTTGTATTGCCGGGCACTACTGAGCCCCCCCACCACGACAAGGTGAAACAAACTCACAAACTTTACCTCTTTATTATATTATTAGTATACTCGTAGACTAGCAAGTCCCCCTCGCTTTGCTCGGGTTCATCCCAAGGTACGTTTTAATGGTTATTATGGAATAAATAGACTATATTATTTTAGTACATATAATATATATGTATAATTTATATACATAGGTATGATGAGTTTTAAATCCCTTACTTGAGCAATGATTGATTCCCCATACAAACTTCATTTCATCTACCTTTTCACCCCTCACCTTAACTTTTTTTATGGGATAATTTCCGGGATAAAAAATTATTTTATGCTCTTTATATTCCCAGGGTCTCAAACTATGTTCATACCAAATTCCATCTAAATCAGTTCAGCGGATTTTTAGTTCATTCGTTACAAACAAATTCACAAACTTTGCCACTTTATAATATTAGTGTAGATAAATTATTATCAATTATAAACGGATTCAAAATAATGTTAATATCTTAATCATATTTACACAGATGTACCGATATTTTATAGTACATGTATCGTAAATTACTAGTTTATTATATAGTAAAATATCTACACGTTTAAAGGTAAAAAAAACTTTTCAAGAATTTCGTACTTATGGTAAGCACTTAGTAGTTGTGTTGTAGGCGTTAAGCTCTATCTTAAATGAACGTTTTTAAGTAAATGAAACCTTAGTTCAGCAGTCATCAATTAACTATATTATAATGTAGGATATTTTTATTTGAAGTTTATTTATGAAAAGAAATATTAATTATCTATACATATAATAAAATTGTAACTAAGCCGAATCTGTACATTAAATATTTTTTGGAAAATCTTATTGAAATAGATATTATTATCGATACAGAGGCCGAATCTAAAGTTTTTAGAATTTTTGTCTGTCTGTCTGTCTGTTACCGCATCACAGAAAAACCACTGGAGGTATTTTGATGAAATTTGGTATGGTGATAACTGGTTATCGGGGTCAACATATAGGATACTTTTTACCGCGGGAAAATATCTCATTTCTGAGAAAAAATACAAAAATTGCAATGTAAGAGTATACTAATATGTAAAACCTAAGAGTTTGGATTTCGGTCATCTGAACGCGGGCGTAGCCGCGGGCAATGCTAGTAAATAATATATTTCCATATTTGTTATAGACATTATTTGTAACGGTATAGTAATCTTAAATGTAACCTTTTTCAGATATTCAATCAGTCTATGTTGTCTCTGTTCAGTTTGCTATATGGGGACGTATTGAGTTCGATGGGTCACAAAACTCAAGGAGCAGCCATCGTTTTAAGTTTTATGTCATTTGTCACCAATTTCGGAGGTCCACTTGCTGGAGCAGTCATAAAACTGACGAGCCCTAGATTCGTTGCTGTATCCGGTGCTTTTTTTTGTACTGCCGGCATTTTACTCAGTGGATTTTCGACTAATATCTATCATTTAATACTTACTTACGGCGTACTATTAGGTGAATATGTTACTATGTTACTTGTATTTATAGAGATTTATGATGTATAACTATTTTGTTCACAATAATTGGATAGTTGACACCATCAACAAATAGTTCCAAGACGCGACTTTAACATCTATAGGTATAATATTAACCCTGAAAACCAGGCAAATTTTTAATTAACTGTAAAATAAGATATTCTAGTCGCTTTAAAATCTATAATATAGAAATGAATCGCTGAATGTGTTGGTAAGCGCACATCTCGAGAGCAGCTGAACCGATTTCGCTAATTCTTTTTTTAGAATATTCCTTGAAGTACGAGGATGATTCTTACGGAGAGAAAAATTTAAAAAATTGCCTGAAAAATTCTAAGAACAACACTTGTCTATAATCCCATACAAAAATTCGTAATAATACTTAAAAGTCAATTTCGACGCCTCCCACGCATTAGGTCGTAAGACCATAATATGTATTTTTTCAGGTGAGACATTTTTATGAACATTATTGTTATAATTGACATGTGAAACATTTTCAACTGGTGTTTTTGCACTATATGATCAATAATTAGTTTAAGAACATTATACTAGGCTCTGCGTGTTATAAAAAACATATTTACACAGAAATAGCCAATTTTAATTACATACGACCTTATACTGGTTGCAAAAACGTCGTATCTTATTGTTGCGACCTTATGCTTCAAATCAGATGGATATAGACAACGCGTAAGTTTAAATTACGACTTTATGCTGCGTGTAAACTCATCTTCTTATCTCTGAAAAAAAGGGTCGTATGGAGGTAATTGATGAAAAAAAGCATGACAAGTTTTAGCTCAAATCAACTTTATTAAAATAACTTTAATCGTAGGTATATAATTCAGTCTTCTTGCATCATTACGATCATTATATTAATGACTTACGTAAACTTTTATAAAAAAAAAACATAAATATAACTTTTCAAGAATTAAACAAAACTAAAGGCACTCATGACATTTAAAAGTAATCAAAATTATATGAACTGGCATTAATCAGTCTTTTAAAGTCTCAGATTAGTTATTTGGGTTTATTCATACAAATAAAAATATATAAAAAAAGAATAATCTGCACATTGTTAAATAATACAAAACATAGGTAACTAATAATTATAATAAACTTATACAAAATTAAAAAATAATGATCCCTTCGAAATTAAACAACATTAAGTAAAAACTACTTAAAATTAAATACTTAGTTATTTTGTTCGTAATATTTATGACAGTATAACAACGGATAATGAAATGTAATCAAAATGTATGCTTCTGTTCTGTTCTGCAAAAGTTCCACTGTGTGACAATTGTTGATAAACTTAATGGTAGGCGTACTTATTATATATCCTTGACAAAGACTCAAAAATCTTTAAATTTTGCTGATGTAATAGGTCATTATTACACTGATTCAGAACTTCTGTATGTACTAGATTATTAGTTTTTCTTCTTGAGGAATAATAATTCTGCCTTTTTTAGTTATTAAGCTCATAATATGAGCATTATAACACATAATATCACTTGACACTACCTTCTCTAAGTTTGGTTCATGATATTTTTTGATATGAAGTATTTATAATCCTATTTCTACCATCCAGTAAAATTTTATAGTTATAAAAATCTATAACAATAATTTCAATCACATTATAATTAGGAGGGTTGACTTTTGACCATCTAACTAAGGCAAACCATTTGCAGGGATATATATTAGCTTATTTTTAGTATTTCTTTTTATTAAAGCATGAACGACGTCACGCTCTAAAAACCTATGAATTAAGCTTATACCATACTTCTTACCTGCATAGCTATAAAATGCAAATACAATTTGATTTCGACTTTGACCGGTACCTACAATTATCGGATCAAAACTTGAATTCTTTAACACCATTATTTACTTTGGTCTCAATTTTCGTATGACCCGTGCTTGCCATTAGTTTCGGGCCACATGTAACAGTAAGCTTCTTCTAATTTACGAATGTTTATACTCCAGTCATGGGTGTTTATATTTATAATAATATGTATTTAAAGTTATATATGTATAGTGTATCAACTATCTTGTATCCATAACTCAAGCCTCGTAGCTTACCATGTAACTGGATGGTGCTGTGTGTTAATGTCTTAACATATTTATTTTATTTATTTATTCTTGACTATATCTATAAATTGACAATATTCTTTTATAATTAATTGGCCTACATTATCATGAGGGCAGTTTAAAATCTTTTGGAAATCGAAACACGCAGTAATTATTTTTCTTTTGCTTTCTAAAGTTTATTTTTATCTCTCGCCTTAATTTCTCTAGCTATAGTCTTGTTTCTCATATCATTTTCTTGTTTTTGCTTTTCTTCTATAGTGATTATATACATTTTTTTGCATTATATATAAGACATTCGTTACATATGTCCTTTTTCGGTTTATGAAATGAAATATTCAAATTTTGATTTATGATATTACGGTACTGTCTAACTGTCTTTGCTTTTTTAGCTATATTTATTCTTTTCAGTAGCACACCACTCATTGTACAAAGAAAACATTTTTGTAAATGTAAGATCGCTGTCCAGGTAAAGCTTAGTGATTCCTGTGTAATTTCTTCAGCACACGATCCTAAATCCATACATCTAGCAGGGTTTTCATTTGACGTAAAAGAAGAAGTCGTGAGTAAAATTGCTGTTGAACTGATACTATTTAAATTGATAAATGTTGCCTTGTGAATACTTGGTATAGATTATAGAACTCCCACTGTTCACAACAAATCCCACTGTTGTTTAGCTTTAATAGGCACCGATGATTCTGAAAACAAAACCATATTAATAAAAGACTTGGTACAAAATACACATAGCTTAAAAATCAAATATAACTTATATAATAATATAACTGTACGCCTTTTATTCCTGTAAGGGTTAGACAAGCCTGTATAAATACATACATACACATTTCATCAACCTTGCCTTTAACCGGGCACAATTTTTTACGCCTCTCAGCTGCCTCACTTACGAAGAGCCAGCGAGGCAGATAAAAGCCAAAAACACAATTTTAATGATATTTATGGCTATATTTAATAATCAAAAAAATGTAACTTTATTTAGCAACAAAGCATAAAGTCTTATGTCTATGTTACGTCTTTATACGTTCATTTAATTTTAAATTGCAACCACGCATATGGTCGTAACAATAAGTTACGACTCCTAGAGTAGAATTATTGCGTAGTATAAAGTCTTAACTGACCACTGCCAGTGATTGTTAACGGCGCATACAGTCGTAACATAGATATACCGACGTTATGCGCCGGAAAAGTAATTTTATTTATTGTTGACAATTGAACGCTATCACATATTAATATTATTTTTTTCCTACGATAATATGGCGTAGTAAAGAAGTACATTTCATAATAATATACGAAAAATGCAATAAAACTTACCTTTTCTAAGATGTTCACCGGCGTTATGACTTCGCTCTTTGGGTTAACCTATTTAACACTATTCAAAATTTGATGAAGAAACGTACGTTACTCATTCTGAAGTATTAGTTTTAATTATAAAAAAAAACAACAACAACACCACATAAAACTTTTGTTCAATATTATTTTTAACATTCAAAATTGTGACAGCGATTGTGTCATACGACGTCGTTACTGTGCTCTCATTGGCATGTGCGCGGCCCAATAAACCGGTGCACATCGTCGAAACTAGCGGCGCGACTGTATGCGAGGGAGCGTTCAAATGTTAAGACTATTATCCATTTGAAAATTCATTATTTATAGAAGATATTAATTTTCTGAATTCACTAATATTTAATATGGTATAATATGGTTACAATGGCACAAAAATATCATTTTACTCAAAAAATGAGTTCCGACTTTATGCGTAGGAGGCGTCGATTTGAACTTTAATACCATACCATAAAGTTTAAGTGTTAGTGGAGAGGTTCTGGGAAGGCAAACAATTGAGTGACGTTAGTATCGTATAAATATTAATGTCAATATTTGTCAATATTATTAACAAAAAATATATATATGGCTAACGCTGGCTAATAACTATTTATATCTATTTAAAACGTACCAGCGACAAACCCGAGCGAAGCGAGGGTGAGCCGCTAGTTAATAAACAGTTATAAAATTGAGTTAGCAAATATGTGTTCTTGCTTTAGCCATACAGAAATTATTTATATTTATATACACACTTCTTTGTTGATGCGTAAATATAATAATAATCATAATCTTTTAGGTTTGGGTCAAGGTTTAATTCAAAATGCGTCGTTTGTGGCTATAAATACTTATTTTAAAGTAAGGAAGAGTTTAGCCGTAGGTCTCGCTGTGACAGGCACTGGAGTTGGGCAGACTCTCATGCCTCATGTAGTGCGATATTTTTTAGAGCATTACGGCTTTAAAGGTGCTTGCATGTTACTGGCATCTTTAAGTTTGCATGGAGTAAGTATGTATACATAGGGCAATTTAACTATTAAAAAATAACTTTAGCATAACAAGTATTATAAAACATGATAAAATTAAAAAAAATATCAATAACGTTTATAATTATAATAATAATTCAATTCCTTCAACGTCCCAATTTTGAGTACATGTTTCCCATGAATTAGGACCTTCTAAACTGGCTAAATGAGGGGTAACTTTACAAGTTTTTATTAATATTTTTAAGTACAAACTAGTTATAACACACAATATAACTAAGTAATAAATAAAAATATGTTTAGATATGTGGGACGATGCTTATACAACCAGTTGAATGGCATATGAAGAAAGTTGAAGAGAAAGTAATTATAATTAATGAGAAAATATACTTATTAAAAGAAAATAATGATATTGAAAAGAATAAAGAATACATTGGCGTAAATGACGACGATTATAAAGGCGTAAGGCGTGGTATGGAATCAGCTGTAGTTCCGGAAAATGGCGTTAATAAACCAAACAATGGGAAAACATCACAAAGTCAGAAAGAATTAAATCAAAATTTAGTGACTAATTACAAATTAAATGGTAAGATTTACTTTAAAAATAAAAGAGGACATATTCAAATATTTAGTTTTACTATAACTATAAAAATATGATTTTAGGAAATACTGATATCCCAAAACCGAAGAAGACCTTTATGAGAAAGATGTACGAATTGTTCGATATTTCACTGCTATCGAGTCCTAGATTTTTGAACGTAATTATAGGGACTGCACTCACAGTGGTTTCTGTACAAAACTTCAGTATGATTTTTCCACTCTTCTTGCAAGTAAGTTTATTGGAAAAAAAGGAATAAATGAAATCAATATATCTATCTATGAATGTACGTGTTTGATATAATAATATATAAACTTCTAAATTATTTGCATAGAAATCCGCATCAATGGACAAGCAGCAGACTGCATACTGTATGTCAGCTGTGTCTTTTGCTGATGTCATCGGTAGGCTTGTTTTACCATCTCTGAAGGACAAATATCATATTGAAGCCCGAATGATGCTGATTCTAACCAGTATTTGGTTAATTGTAGTTAGACAAAGTAAGTTATTATATATATTATATATACACGTAGTCTAAGTTAAGGAATTATTTCTAAGTTTTATTCATATTCTTTACAGTTTTGGCATATCAGACCGACTTATCTGTCCTCCTAGCACTCTCAGCATTTTATGGTTTTGGAAGGAGTATGGTGATTGTTGCAAGAAACTTAGGAATATCGGAACAGTGTAGAATGGATCAAGTACCCTCCGCTGTAGGTTTGGGGATGTTGACTATGGGCCTTATAGTTCCTCCAGTGGGATACTTCCTAGGGTGGGTCAGAGACTACACAGACAGCTATTCTTTTTGCATAAGCGCACAAAACTTACTATTAGTGCTATTTCTAGCTATGTGGATACCTGATATGATTATGATTCACTATGAAAGAAAAAGAGATAAAAGGAAAGACGCAGAAAACTCACAGCGATAAGAAATATCTATTGATTTAGATATGGTATCAAACTCGTTGAACAACACAGATTAAACTGTGATAAGTAAATTTTTACGAGCTATTTCTGTAGCAGTAGTAATTTACCTTGGCTGTGAAGTTTTATGTAGCAGTTATACATACTAATTTAGCATTTATATAGTGAACATTGAGACTGATGAAGTTCCTGTTGTGTGTTGCGATATTCATATGTTTGAATGTGCGATATATAATCTTTAGTCTAATAAATTAAAAGATATGTACTAATAAATAACTTTTGTTACATTTTTATTTAATATGCCCATAGCAGTAATATAAATAATATACAAAAGGTTTCCTTTACTTAAGGAACATTTTATTGGTAAACTAAAGCTATAATAAAAATTTATTCCACAGAAACTTATGCTCTAATCAAATAAGACCATTATATAACATTTTGTAGAAGTTTACCAAACGATCAGTTCAGAAATATCATGTTTAATTCACTAACAGACGTCTGAATCGTACGCACTGAACGTCCGTAGCAGACATCCCCCAGTTAGACAGCGGATATAAGCAAATAGTAACTTTGTACACAATTCTTTTTGCATCTTATATTGTTATGTGTCCATTTTTGTATAAAATGTTAGTAATAATATTAAAGTAACTTCAATTAAAATAAGGTCAACAGATTCAATTTCGGCTTGGAAAAACATATAGGAACAACTATTCTAAAATAGGTGTTTTTAATTATAGAACTCACTATAAAATATTTTAGTATTATATTTATATCTCATATGGGTAATAAAACTTGCATATACGTAAATTTTTATGATAGATGGATCTATAAATGGAGACAATTGTGTACATACGGGCTGTTATCCTCATATTATAAATGTGAAAGTTTGTGAGGGTGGATGGATGGGTAGATGGATGTTTATTACTCTTTCACGCCAGAGTGGCTGAACGGATCTGGATGAAACTTAACGCAAAGATAGATTATAGTCTGGAATAGCACACAGCTTAATTTTTATCACGGAAAAATAGACGGTTCCACTGTCCATAAATATTAACCACTAGCAGTATATTTAATACAATTTATACATACTATGTATCAAAATAACATTTAAGAAACAATTTTTAGTTATATTTAACATTCAAAACCTAATCTATTATAGTTAAAGATAAAAATCTTGTATACATATTGTGAAGTTAATTTTATCTACAATACATTAACTAAATGTTGTCTACTGTTGTCATGCACTGCAGACATCTGAAGAACCCTATTCGTACATTTTCGAGACTAGCGAGTACTTGACGTGGATTTGTATATCATTCTTTGTATTGTAGAAACATTTTGAACCAAGCTATTGTATAATGCAACATTTTAACATTATTCTACGAGTAATTAGAACAACCATTAACTTTTTAGTACAGTTAATTTTTAAACTTACAATATGTCACATTCTTCAAAGATATACGAAAGAAAAACTTTACTAGAGTGAGTATCTTAAATCATAGTTTTAATGTCTTAGTATAGTTGTTTTTTACTTGAGTACTACAATGAGTAAATAATTACAGTTATATTTAACTAAACCACTTTTGGGTTATTTATACGTATATAAATATATTGGGACATTAACACACATCACCATCTAGTTCCATGGTAAGCTATGAGGTTTGTGTTATGGATACCAGATAGTTGATACACTACACATATATAACTTTAAATACGTATATATTATATAAATATAAACACGTATGACTGGAGTACAAATATTTGTGCTCATCACACGAATGAATGCTCCTAGCGGGACTTGAACCTGACCGCTGCCACAGCAAGTAGGATCACTGCATACTGAGCCAAACCTGTCGTCTAATATATATTCTTAAATTACAATTGTTATGCAAACTTACATATTTTTCATCCATTTATCATATAGTGTATTTATCATATGTTATATAGTATATTACATATTATGATACACTCTCTACTCACTACATATTTAAAATATATAGATATCCCGATTGAACTGTCAAAAGATAAACGGTGTGAGGTAATAATCTGTTTTAACTCACAAAAGATATTTTTTCTTCATAATAGGATATTAGATCAATACTATAATATTTAAAAAATATTACATAAAGTTTATAAAATTATCAATCACAATATAAAGGTAATTTGTAGTTATTTTAATTTAATAATTTATACTCTATGAATATACTCTACATTCTAACTTAGATTTTAGACCGTTCAACAAAACCAGCTCTTTAGATATTTATAATATGTTGTATATCATATAATACAATAAAAAAGTAACATTAGGAATAATTTAAAATTTTATAAAGCAAAAGTTGTTCCTAATTTTTTTTATGTGATATAACAACCTGTATATATATATAATTACAATATTTCATTAAGTTTTAACCACTAGGACTTCTTGAATGAACCATAATCTACTCACCAATGAAATTGATTTGAAACGAACTCAACATGTTCATGAATATAGCAGCCGCAGGCTCATCTATCTCTAGTAAGTACTAAAAATTTGTATTTATTTTAATTGGACACTTGTTATAATTGAATTGAATTCCAGTTTTATCAAATTAATCGAGTTAACATCTATTTTCAATGCTTAAATCTAAATTAGTTGTATGAAAATCATTTCCAAACGAGCGATCTTAATTCGTAAGATTCAACGCTACAGTTGGTAAGTTTGTTGCTTTCTTCGTGAAGAACAATCAAATTCTCCATCTAAATTGCTTCGGTGTCGGTTCTGGAGCTTATAAAAGATCTGCGGCTCTTTGTGCACTTCACTCTATTGATGTGCAGGTACGCTGTCGGTAAAACTTGTTCAAAGGAAACTTGGCAGACAGACGGACGGACGAATTATCCGTCTATATGAAAGATGTCCTTTTGAAATTATGTTTTTTATTCTGCTTCTTGTTTCCGATATACAACAAATAGCTGAAAGCTTAAGTGTTAATTTTTTTGCGAAATAAGTTTCCAAAATAATACGTTATTTTTCTGCAGGTTGTTCCTCATAACGAATGCGTAGACAATAGGTACATACTTATTAAGTTATAATATAGCGTAGATAAATAAATTCTGTTTTAGGAACTGTAATAAAATACCAATTAAGTGTTAATCACTATTCACTATTTTGATGTGTAATTTATGAAATGGTATATAAAAAAATACACACTATCAATAGGATTTTAGCTGATAATTGATGATACTCTCGACAAACTAGTGTTTTCTTACGCACGCAAAATATGGTCCCAATCGTGGCCAAGCGGCCAAGATTGTTTATCACAGGTTCGAATCCCAGCCGCACACAAAGTTTTTACTTTTATTTATTTTTTATTTATTCTAGTTTTTAGTTTAAAAAAAAACAAAATTGTACTTCTGGCCAAAAATTCCGAGCGAAGCTCGGTCCCCAGGTACTGATAGTATTAATAATGATGCTAATAAAATAAAACAGATTGTTGCTGCAAGGACGTAAATTATTGTTTTATATAAAGACTTTATTTATTGGCATAGAGATTTTTATAATAGAATTTTCGATGCCAAAATATAAAATAAACTAGCGACTCACCCTTACTTCGCTCGGGTTCGTCCCTAGGTATTATAATGGATATAGTATGTTATCCTTAAGAGATAGACATATGCCATCCCGAACTTTTTTGTAGACTTTTTTAAGGTGTACAATCTGTCAGTCATACTGTAGTACATTATGTTGATCTATCTCGTAGGATTCAGCCAGCGTTTGCAATGTAAGGGCAAAAAAATGTGTATATTTACGACATCACATTAGAAACCTCTAAAATTATCAGTGTTTCTCTACTATATTATGCACGTATTATACATATACCTAAACCTTCCTCTTGAATCACTCTATCTATTAAAAAAACCGCATCAAAATCAGTTGCGTAGTTTTGAAGATCTAAGCATACATAGGGACAGACAGACAGCGGGAAGGGACTTTGTTTTAATACTATGTAGTGAAGCACGGCAAAATTTGAAAACACAGTTTCATTTAAAAAGAGAAAAAATATTATAGTCTCAAGATTATTAATTCCCAAATTAAGGAATATTCCGTTAGGTGTATCTGACTCTTACTTAAATAGTTTTATTATTAGGTAGGTACTAATTTATTTTAAGGAAAATTAATATATTTGATACTTAACTTATATACAATATGTATTCGCAATATACATACTTTCTTTACATAATTGCATTATTGCATAAGCATTGAAAAACTTCTGATTTATATGATCTAAACGTGAGCTTTTATTGTAAAAGTTTCCAAAACAAAGGAGAACAAGAGAGTGTTCATGTCGGTAAGGTTACAATATATCTGTTCTAATATAAAACTTAAAGGACTCTTCAAGTATTCTTTTTAATATTCCACTTTAACTTCAACAATTGAACTTGCCTGGACGATTACCTTTTAAAGATTTTTTTAATAAAATATTATAGATGTGAAAGTGCGTTTATTTGTTTGTTTGTCCTTCTTTCACGTCAAACGTTAGAGTGCTGGAGCACTCTCCAGTTAGGTAATAAGATAAAACTTGTTACCGCGGGAGATTATATAACTCCCACGGGAAAACATGAAATTATTTATGATCAGAATTACTTGAAACTTGGTATTAATGCAATTAAATAAATAAATGTTATAGAATTTTTCGAAATTCGTCGTTCAAAATAGGGAATGAAAGCCGCGGGCTCTGCTAGTAATTTAATACATATTTTTTTCAATCCATTTCTATTATTTGGTTTTACAAGACGTAAATAAAGATTAAGAGTCTAAAATAAGGATTATTATGGTAAACTGTAGTTAATTATATAAAATAAAATATGATACATAATTAAAGATCTTTCTAAATAGATTTCAATAATATTTTAGATTCAAGGATAATTTTAATTTCAGAAAGATAGTAAGTTCCTAGCCCATATAGTTAATTGGCAGCTACTTACTTATACATATTTACATTGATAATGCTAATAAGAAATATTC